GCTGCATCACCTGATCCGCCAATGTATCTCGATCCTCCGCCCTGTTGATCCAAGTTTGCCATTTCATTTTTCAGCCGTGATCTGCCATTAACGTACCAAATGTGACTTAACACTGATAGGAAGGCATCATCATATCAGACTGAAACATTTTACAAGCCACCCACAGGTAGCAGTGTAAGGTACCTTAACAGAGGGATCTCTGCCAGTGAGATCTGAAGCTTGGCTTCTTTGGTTCTGGCGTTGCAGCGGAAAATGTGGAGGACTAGTGAGTATCTGTCAAACACTTTGACCCCCCAGACTTCCTCAAAGTCCCTCTAAACAGAAATGAGTAAGAAAAACAAAGAAGAAGAAAAAGAATCATCAACAAAAGAAACCTTTCATCCAACACAGCCAGAGTTTTCAGACATGCTCACCTCAGACAAAGGAGTCAGACGCTCAACATTGACGAACACAGCAGTGATTCCTGCTGTTTGCCTGATCCTCTCTGCAGGGAAACATCCGGTAATTCACATGTAAGCAGCACTTGGTCTAGACCTTCTGATTCACCGGAGTGGATCATACCTGTGAGAGTCTGGAAGTTCCCTTTCCCAAATATCCTCTTCTTCTCTGGAGTCTTGGTGGAGAGGATCATCTTGTCCACCACAGTCCAGTTCTCCAAGGTGTTCACAAGCCCCTCAGCCTCGGCCATCATCAGCTCAGCTGCAAATGTAACGGTGCAAACTTGTGATAATCTCTACTGGTGTATCTTTGTTCTTGGAGAGCAATCATAGCTCAGGATAATTGCCTTAAAAATGCTCTCACTGCAGCCTGCCAGACTTTCTTCTTCTTGGCTGCCTCTCACAAACAGAAGCTTTAAACAGCACATGGGTGGAGCTCTAGCAGTGTTTAATATGACACCTACATTAGTCAGAAAATAAGGAAAAACATACATTTAAATCTACTTTTTCCATCTGGCTCATCTGAGCATGTGTGTGCTGTTACCTGTAGTCAGATGCTGTTTCCTGCTTCCCCACTTCACATCTGGGTGGACGATGAACACCCTGTGCTGTCCCTCTCCGATGCCTGCAGGAATCTGCTGCTGGAACAGCTCCTCCACCTCGCTGTCCTCCAAGAAATCTTCATCCTCGCCCTCCTCATGAAACCCGTTGCTGCTGCCGAGGTCATCTGTGCTCTTCGGCCTGAACGCGGAGAGCCCAAATGCCCTGGTCTGCAGGCTAGTTGCCCCTCTCTGCCGCTGACAGGTGTTGACTGCATGTGCGTGATCAGGTGTATGCAGCAGTCTGCAGGTGGCTCGCGCCCCTATCTGACAGCTCCTCGTGCAGGATCGCTGCAGGACGGGCATCCACGAGCTGATCCTCCTCAGGGCTGTCAGGAAGCTCATCAAACCCTGAAGTTCACACAACGTGGATCACCGCAGGTCACACACGCGCGCTGCTGACGTCGTTCTTCTACAGGCTCACCTGTAGAGATCACACTTCCTGTTTGGTTTAGAAAACATAATTTATCTCAGTAAATATACAAAAAGTTGGACTATGACTGATTATGAGCGAAAGGACACCAGGATCAGCCCGTGAGTAGCTGTGTTTTGAGTTTCGTGGGGCTTTTGGGTTTTTTGGTCCCCGCGTTTTGCCTTCCAGTTAGCATTTCCTCCATGAGTTCGCACTAAACGACAGATTTACCGTCAGTAAAGGATTTTAAGCTAAACAGAGTCACCTGAACGGGATAAAACCTGATTTACATTTAAGATTATTCGCTTGAAAAATAGCGCAATAAGATTTTTTTTGATCCAGTCTGGAAGAAAACGTTTCCTGGAAGACTAAACCCGGGGGTGTGAGTATGACTTTCCAGTATTTCCTGTTTGCGTCATTTCCTCTGTAGTTATGTTTCCACAATTTACTAAAACACAATTAGAAATTCATACAGCTGATTGTCAAAATAAGAGTTTAGGGTTATTTAAAAACACAGTTTTAATATTTATATTCAGTGTTTTTAGGTATGCTGATTTCACTCACAATATTGTGATTTATTCCACCCCCTAAAACGTTACTGCACAACATTGATTTAACTTTCATTTAGTTTGATATATATATATATATATATACATGATATATATATATATATATATATATATATATATGTATGTATGTATGTATGTATGTATGTATGTATGTATGTATGTATATATATATATATATATATTTAGTAAAAGAGCATTGCCTGACCCTCTGCAGGTACTTGGTGGTTGCAGCTTTTCTAGCGCCTCTTCATGGTTCCCATTCGCCTGCGGGATCCCCAGGTACTTGTAACTGTCCTCTATGTCTGCAATGTTGCCTTCTGGTAGTTCAATCCCCTCAGTTCTGACTACCTTCCCTCTCTTTGTTACCATCCGACTACACTTCTCCAGTCCGAACGACATTCCAATGTCATTGCTGTATAGCCTGGTAGTGTGGATCAGTGAATCGATGTCTCGTTCACTCTTGGCATACAGCTTGATGTCATCCATGTACAGGAGGTGGCTGACAACTGCTTCGTTCCGTAGTCGGTATCCGTAGCCAGTCTTGTTAATGATCTCACTGAGGGGGTTCAGGCCTATGCAGAACAGCAGTGGGGACAGAGCATCTCCTTGGTAGATCCCGCACTTGATGGTGACTTGTGCTATGGGCTTGGAGTTGGCCTCTAGTGTTGTACGCCACATCCCCATTGAGTTCCTGATGAAGGCTCTCAGGGTCCTGTTGATCTTATATACTAGTTCTAGGCATTCCAGTATCCAGCTGTGGGGCATTGAGTCATAGGCCTTCTTGTAATCAATCCAGGCAGTGCACAGGTTGGTCAGTCTGGTCTTGCAGTCTCGGCTGACTGTTCTGTCTACCAGTAGCTGGTGTTTTGCGCCTCTTAGCCTCCTTCTCCATGGAGGGTACTGCCCCTTGTGGCTGTTCAACTTGTAGCTGATCACTGCTGCCGTATTGTAGATCAGCTTGTTAGTGTCGGTAATCGTGGTGGCCGTAGTGCTGCATTAACATCATCTAGCAGACCTTCTGAGGGTACTTCACGTAATCTTGGTAACCGGCTACGGGGGATCCAGGTTTCAAGCTTGGCCATGATCCTATTTTTCAGGTCAGTTCCTCTCGCACTCAACGATCCTTCTCCTATCGCACTTGGGGCTATGTACCCAATCTCGGGTGGGGGTGATGATATCTCCCCCCTGACCTGGCGTCCTGACTCCTCCTTGCCTAGCATTTGTGTTGTACCTCGTCAATCTCTAGCTGTGAGAGCAGTCCCTTCTTTCGAATGTTGGAACACTGAGCTACTAGTTGTTTCGCCGTCATTGTGGATGTTGGGTATCGAAGAATCCATAGGTCCGTCATCCTATTCATGTAGCCCCTTCCGCCGGGGTTACTTGCGTAGTAGCATTCCAGCAACGCCCTGTTTTCGTCTCTGCTTTCGTTCCAGTGGCCCACTTCTCGGTGCCCTGGTTCCTCAACAGCTGACGCGGACCTTGTTGATCCGGGCGACGTCCGAGCCGGCATGCCTTCATATTTATCTGTCTCGCTCATGTCTGCGGTAGGCTTGCTTAGCATAGGGGGTCTAGCCTTAGGACCCTTACTGGACTCGAACTTTGCGATCCTCTGCTCCAAAGGCGTGTAGTCTAACTACTACGCTATATATATATAGGAATATCATGAAGGTAACTTCATTTTCATTTTATTTCAGATTTCATCCTATACTGCTGTATATATATGTATATGTTTATAGTATGCACAGTATAAATGATTCTTGCACAATAACAACTGAAGAAAACTATTAATAAAATAATAAACTGAAAAATCAAATTGGGTATATGAGAGTGAGATAATAGCAATAATGCTTCACTCAAAATGTACATTTCATTTGTTGAAGTTTTGTTTCTCTAATTGCATTTAATTTGAAATACTTTCACTGCACTATGAGATTTTTAAAATAAAATATGAAATCATGTATTTTCCCAATAAAATCACAAAGCTTCTAAAAGCACAGCAGCAGTTATATAGGCCCTACTGTCGTTTACAGATTGAAGTGACAGACAGTATGTTAGAACAAACAGCATGCATTCACACTTTCATTTAGGCAAAATGGTGTTACCAGGATTTTTTGTCTTGCAATGGAGTTGAAGTGAAGTGTAAAAATAAATAAAGTGTAGAAAATTGGTTCAGAAAAATTGCCGGGCTCATTTAAAACCATTTTCCTTAATTATGGATATTTTACATGAAAAATTATGTTGCACAAATATTTTATACTGATTATCTGTTTTAAGTGATAAAACAAGTATTTAGACTCTTTACTGAAGTAAAAGTCGTAAATAATGGCACAAGTAAAGTAAAAGTCATTATGTAAACTCATAAAAATGACTAATTTTTGTATTTATCACGTTTTTTGGGTTATTTTAACTGCTTGGATACTGCTGATACTTTCTTTGATAATTAAACAAAAAAAAACTTTTATTTTGAAATTTCCAAAACAATAAAGAAAGATTTTAAATAAAAGGTACGAAGTACAAAGTGCAATATTTCCATCCGAAGTAGTAGAAGTACAGAGGAGAACAGAAATAAAACAAAGATAGATGTGTTTAAGTAAATTAAAAGTAAATTAAAACTTCATGAGTAAACTTAGTATATTAAGTAAGTACTTTCATCCAGTGGGGTTGAATAACACTCAAAGTAATCTACTGGCACAAGTATTAAAATGAGACAAGTTTCAGAATAATGTTTTTGATTAGCTAATAACTGTGTGTAGATTAACGTGTCCATCACGTTCAATTAGCAGAAAATGAAAGTAAACTACAAGTACCTTAGAACCGAGTACAGTACTTAAGTAATGACTACTTTTACTTTTATGATACTCTCCGTTTCACAGTCGCGATCAGGTGAAAGAATGAAACACAAACTCGTTGTGTTTCCTCTGGATGAAACGAACGTAACCGCAATAACAGGAAGTTTGATTGTAGCTTCTTCTCCAGATGCTGTGAATGAGTCACAGAGTCAGATGTCATCACGTTTCGTGTCGTATGTTTGGGTGTGTGTTACCTGACATGAAACTGCTGACAGAAACTAACCGTCCTCGAGTTTTATTCTTGATTTTTTATTTTTCTACTTTATGTTTTATTTTTAAATCCTTCAGCGGTATTTTTGCACGTTTTTAACTCAGAAAAGACGCGAGAAATAGAGAGAGAGAGACAGAGAGGCAGCGAGAGCAGGTATGGCACAACAGGCCGCCGCATGACTGACATTAATGAGGTCGGAGGTGTACGCGGGGTTGGAACGAGCAGAGGACGAGGAAGTGAAGTTTGACTTTTGAATTACGCAGAAATGAGCGAGTTTTGTTTTTCCAAGCTGAAGAGAAAAACGTCTGTTGATAGATTTTCTAGTTTTTGTGCGCAAATGCGCCCAAATCCGGAGACGCCGGTGGCACTTTTACGCGCAGGACTTCTGTTGAGTTTATTTAGTTTGTGCGCCTGTTTGGGTAAGATGCCTGACTGTCTGCAGATCACACGGTGACATAATGACAGTAAATAGCGTGTCTCCTTTTTGTGTGCAGATGACAGTTGTGTTCTGGGGATCGTGGGACGGCCAATGTCTCTGCCTTGCGTTCTCCCTGAGTTAGTCAACTCCGAGAATGTCACCATTGAGTGGATGAGAGACAGTGAGTTGGTACTCAGGTCGGTATGGAAGCCCGATGGAAGTGTGGAGACATGGAGCAATAACAGAGTCGCAGTCCCAGCTGACGCTCCTCTGACTGGAAACGTGTCTTTAAACCTGCCAGCGGTTCGTCCCGTTGAAGACCAAATGTCTTACAGCCTTTTCATGGTGTTAGGGAAGAATCAGAGCGCCAGGCTGTGCACCACATGCCTCAGGACAGCAGGTAAGTCCCGCGGGATTCAGGGGGAAGCAGAAGAAGGATATTTAGAAGTCCAGTCTCTGGTGGTTGGTGGCAGACATGGCTGTAAATTTTGTCGGAATGAGGACACATTAAAAGCCGGAAATTTTAAGCACGAGACACTTATTTTTTTGTATTTTAGGGATTTTTTTAATTAACAAAATTGAACGTTTTCTAGATGTGTTTGTGACCAAAGTCTCTGTATTCATGTTCCAGTTCAATATACGTTGCAATATAGTGCAGTGAGTGTTTTCTTTTAACTTTGCACCAACACAGTTACAGACATTATTTATTCTTCTTCCCTCTTTGCCTGAGTCCAGATGGGAGTCAGAGTTTAAAGAGTTCTGAATATAATATAAGGTCACGTTTGTTGCTTGTTTGCACCTGTTTACATCACTGGTAGATGATCTTATCTTATAAACACCTGAATTGTAACAGTTCAGATGTGTTTCAGCAAAACTCCTGCACATTTATAACATGCCACACGTGTCTGTAATGATTTGTAGGTACCATATGTATCTGACTAGTTAGAAGACTAGAAAAAAACAATAAACTGCTGCATGAAAACATTCACAATCATATTGTGGGAGTGTTGGAGGCATTGTTTCCATGATGAGTAATGTCTTAATGCTTTCCCTAATCCCTCAGCTTCTTTCATGTAATTACTGGAGGAAAAGAGATTCTAAATATTACTAAATATAGAATCAACACATATGTTTGCAGCCAGTTTCAGCACCCCAAAGCTGGAGAAGGAAGAGGCAGTGCAGGGCGATGAGAAGGTCTTCCTGTGTCACTCCACTGGAGGTTATCCCACACCTGCAGTGTACTGGCTCATCAACGACAGCGAGGAGCCCCCCGCAGGGTCGGTGAGGACTCAGATGACATCACTCCCAGACAATCTCTACAACATCACCAGCCACTTGACCCTCAACATTTCCCACGACTCCATTGTGTCGTGCATCATTGATAACCAGTCGATGAACCAAACCGTGATGTCAACCTGTAAGTGCAGTCATTAGTGTTCAGACACAGCAGCACGATTCTCCTTATCTGTGAAACTCATAGTTAAGCAAATTCTGCTATCAGCTGGTTCCCTATACTGGGTAATGTCACGTGTCTGACTGGTTTGATATTAATTAACATTAGCAAACCAGTCCAGTTTTTATCATCTTTGAATTTTTGAAAGCTCTAGTTTAACATGTAAAGACAGACAGGTTTGTGTTTTGTTTTTTAAATCTTATCACTTTTGGATCAATCAGTTAATCAATCAGTCAAAAATGTTAAAAGTCACCTTGGCGATGTACATCTTTTAAATACAGTTTATGGATTTGGACTCTTTGGATTTTAAATCTTCTTCTTTAGTGTTTTTTTTATTGCAGGTTCTTTTTGGAGTCAGGTGTTATTTATTTATTTACACTTTATTTATTGGCCTTGGCTCTATGGCACACTGAAAACATTTTTACTATTGTTTTTTCCTGATGATTGCTCAGATGGAGTGGAGGCCAGGCCTGTGACGAATCGAGCATCGTCGGCCATGTGGATGTTCAGCACAGGTCTGTGTGTGGTGGTTGGGATCATGGTGATAGCTGGAGTGGCGTATCAGATCCACCTGGACAAAATAAACAAGAGGAAGAAGGAAGAGCACAAACAACAATGGAGAGGTAAGCAGATCAATGTGTTTGTTTATCAGTGAATTTAATAGAAAATAGTGCAAATAGTTAAATCAAATATTTGCAGCCTTTGCCTTTAGACTGGAACCTGAGGAGCTTTTTTATTGGTGGACTTTATGAAGAAATTATGGAAATTCTGTTTTAGCTACTGGGAAAAATGCCATGCCAAGAGGCTCTTAGCTTCTATTTTTATATGAGTCTGGATGAATGTTTGAGCATGCTGTCATGCTGCAAAGCAAATCTGTGCCTCCTTTAATAGAGCTGTAAGACGTGTGCCTGAGATCACAGCATTAGGAACGTCTTCTGTAAGACGTCACACAGAGCTGGATGTAGAAAATCACACCTGACATCAAGTGTTTAGAGCAGTTTATTTATTTATACATAAACTCAATGTGCTTAATGATAAACACATAAAAACCTGTGAAGGTTTAAAATACCTTAAGGCAGTGAAAACTTCAAAATAAAACTTTACAGAAAAACTACAGTGTTGAGGGCGGCACAGTGATGCGGTGATTAGCACCTCATAGCAAGAAGGTCGTGGGTTAAAATCCCACCTGGGGCCTTTCTTTGTGGAGTTCATGTGTGGGTTCTCTCAGAGTACTCTGGCTTCCCCCACAGTCCAAAGACATGCAGTTAATGGGATCAGGTTAACTGGTGATTCTAAACTGACCGTGACGTCTGTGTGTTCCCTGCCTTTCACCCTATGTCAGCTGGGATTGGCTCCAGCCCTCCGTGACCCTGAATTGGATAACAGAAAGAAAATGGATGAGTGATGAGCTGCTGAATGTCAGCCTGTGTGAACACAAACGCTTTTGAGTTTTGATCTAAGGGCATCTTGCTGTACTGGGGCCAAACCATTGAGTTTTATGAACTATTAAAAGGAATTTTAAAGGGAAGTTTATACTGTGGTGGGAGCCAATGAAGTGTCTGTACTGTACTGGAGTAAAATGCAATTTGAAAGAGCTCATTGTTAAGCTGATGATTTGGAGACCCTGGAGCAGTCTGAAGCCTGAGCTCTTCCCACAGCTGACCTCACTGCATAAAACCTGTTTAATATGAGCATCCACCATTTTTAAAAGTATTTATATGGCACATAACAAGAGAAAGTATAACAGAGCTGTCAGGTTGTTGTTGTGCTTTTGTAACTTGTTTATTTGTCACCATCAGGATACAAAAGACGGTATCAATTCAGGTTGGAAGACGAGTTGATGAACCAGGAACAAAGGGAGACGGATGTTTGAGCCTGACGGTCACTTAAAAACTGAAGCCACAGAGCACTGATGTGTAAATATGTTTGTTGTAATTACCATTTAAATATAGTTTTTAAGATACTGTACAAGAACAGTTCTTGGTGGTTGTTTTGTTTAGTTTTTGTTTTTTTGAACCTATTTGAAGATTTAATAAAGACTTCCAAAATGACACCAAGCCCTCTTTTACTTCATAGATCTATAAGGCGTACGAGAGGTGAATTCATATTTCTTTTACAGTAGAAGAAAGCTGCATTGGATTTCAGGTTTGTTTTTTATTCTTGAGCACTGATTCAGAAACAAAGAAAGCTCTGAAAACAAACAAGCGGCCAGTCTTCCCATTCATCTGTAACCAGAAATGATAAATGAGTCACTGCTCATCAAAAAGCTTTTAACTAGATCTGCACTGGATACAAAAGTCACAGCTTTTAATGCAACGTTTCTTCATTCAAGTTATCTTAAAACAGCCAATCAGCGACTGTCCAGCTGACTCATGTTTTCCTCTGCTGGACAGCGAGCTGCTGCAGGCCTGCTTCTCTCTTCAATCCACTTTAACAAGAATCACATGGATGAGACTTTACAGGATCCTTTTTGCTCGATTTGAAGAGCTGGACCCGAGGTTCAGAGTTCAGCTCGAGCCGTCCTGCACTGACGTCACCGCGTAGAGGTCGTCCCGACGCTGAGATGTGATCGGGATCTGCTGCCGGATGTCGGCCAAATACTGCAGGTCTGAAAACACGCGACACATTTAGAGAGAAGACACAATCACAGCAACGGCAGAGTAAACACGAGCACTGTGCAGTAACTGCTGCTGTGCCAGACTGAAATGTTTTCTCTGTTTTACATTGTCAGGTCTTCATTTTTTAGTATTATTCTGTAGAGGAAATCATTAAAGCAGTGAACTAAAACTTCTTCTCAGAGCAGAAACTCATTTTTCCACTTTCCTCACCAGCTGATCAAAGATTACATAACTGTAAATGACTTTCACATTCCACAGAGACAAGCAGACTTCTGCTTTTCCTCACCGATGTCGGCATAAATAACAGCTTCCTCTGGTCCAGCCTTGGAAATGACTTCCCCCCTGTAACAACAGAATTATTCACAAATCAGCACAAGAAACGCTCCTTTAAACTTCCTCACAGTTGATATTTTCTTATTTCATTTTTACAAAAAAGTATTGAATAATTTATTCTATGTTGTAACAGCTAGTTGTTGTTTTTTTATTTTACATTCATATAGATTCCCTGCAGGAAACACATTAAAACTTTAAATGCTAACGCACAGTTAAGCTTTAAGTTTCATCTGTTTTGTACGGTCATGACGTAAGCCGTCGATTCTTCACAGGCAGGCAGGGACGTGTCGCTGGACACTTTTCAGCTGACGACACTTTCAGAGTTGATGAGTAACTCTTCAGACCTCTTGGTGACACTCACTCGACGTCAGCAGCTGATGCCCGTAGAACAGGTTAAGATAACAAACTGCTCCCAGCACACAACCTCCGCTTAAAGAAACACGTCTGTTCCTCAGACAGACAAACAAAACCCACACATGACAGCAGCGGCGCTGCAGGAAGGTTCAGGTAACACGACGGGGTGGAGTCATCAGAAAGAAACTAAACACCTGGATAAGCCGAAATTCCCAGATGAACTTTAAAGCTCTTTGGTCGCGCCTGCCAACGTGAAATATTCCCTCAAGCCGTTTGTGTGGCAGCCAAGATCCAAATCAAAAAACCACCGTGGGCTATTTAACCTGCCTCCTGTTACCCGAGTTACACTTTACATGGCGTGCATGGCATCCGAACAATAAACGGCTCAGCGTAGGAAGGCTTCACTGGATTTAAACCTTGTGACAACGTTTTTAAAGCTCATGAAATACAAGGTTACAATGAATTTGCGTCTGAAAAAAGCTGCTTTTCAAGTTTGTTCCTACTGGAGTTCCTCAGCTTACCCAGAGACGGCAGTGAGATAAACTCTGACAACAGCTTGCTGATTCTACATCTGTACTCCACCCTAACTGCTCTACATTGTTAAAACCCTGAATCCTTCTACTTTTACGGCCTCAAGTTGTCCCTCTGAAAACTTTAACCGCCTTATCACGCCCTGCCTTTTTGATCTTATTTTCTTACCACGGGTTCACGACGGTGCTGTGACCCCAGGCCACGTAGGAGGCAGCTTCATCTCTGGCAGGTGATGCTGTGGCCACATACACCTGATTATCAAGCGCCCTGCATAAAGAGACATTAAAATGATTCGTTGCAGATTTAAACAGCAGCAGATCTCAGTTTGTAGTCCCTGAGCTCTCGTCATGCTGCGTTTATTATTCAGCTTGTGTTCATTCAGGCGTTCTTGTGCCTTATAAGTAACATGTCTGGTTAACGAAAGCTCAACCCTCAGATCAGATATGTGGCTGAAAGATGACTCTAACATGTCTGCAGTAAATTATTCTTTTGGGAGTGACTGACTATGACCCTCAGTCTGACCTCCCCCTCTGCAGGAGCTCCCAGTGGGCGGGGCCTGTGGTCATGTTGAAGGCTCCGGGGTAAACCAGCAGCTGACAGCCTGAGGACAAAAGCGCAGTCCAATCAGCTCTGGTACATCACAGGAAAACAAAATCTAAACACTCCTTTCAGACGCTTACCCTTCCTGCTGTAGAGCTGGGCGAGCTCCGCGAACCTCATGTCATAGCAGATCCCAACACCCACTTTGCAGAACGCTGCAGGAGGAACACATCAGATCAATGTATGCTCATCCAGACTGCGAGGCAGAAAGCCAGAGTCTGCGGCTGTCGCTCACGTGTGTCAAACAGCGATAAACTGCTCCCCGGGCTCAGCGTCTCAGATTCCTGGAAGCGGATTTTTCCGGGAACGTCGATGTCAAACAAGTGAATCTTAGAGGAAGAAAGAAAAAAGATGAAGAGGATTCATCTCTGCAACTGACCACACACTGTATATGACCCACACATACCTTCCTGTGTTTAAGAATCATCTCTCCATCAGGGCCAAACACTGTACAGGTGTTGTACAACTTCCCACCATCCTCCTCGGGAATGGATCCTGTGGATGATGACGAGTCGTAAGAGCTTAAAAACTCGAGAGGTTTGAAATGAAAAGGCTCTTGGACGAGAGAGACGGATGTCATCACAAACACAAAGAAGGTTCAGTTAAGACCCCAATGACCTGGACAACTGGAAACATCGACATAACGAAAAGTAGTTTGAACTGAACTTGGATTTAAAGTTATTCCAATCTTCTTAAACGATGACCACGCTTGGGTGGCAAGTGGCCCTGTTACGATCATTACTATCTCCATGTGTTTATCCTCTGACAGAGACACATGAAAGAGACACGACAACCAAAGAAATAAATCTTTGGGAGAATTCTGTAAAACCTCGTCACCTGCTGTACTTGCACCCAACATGACGATGGAGAAAACTTTCAACTCAATGCTTAAAAAAAACACGACTTCAACAGGTCAGATCGCCTTTTCTATTTTTATACTGTCTGTGGTGAAGCCCATCAGTCCATCCTCTGCCTGAGACCAGCGCCTCCCCTCTCCTTTCTTCTGATTGGCCACCTCTTGGAAACAGAAGGTTTGAACAGCAGATATCAGTCTTTGTGACATCGTACTCATCCAAGTTTTTAAAAAAAGTCTTAAACCTGAGATTTTATCTCATAGGGATTACTTGCACATGAAACGAAACCTTGAGCTTGTTAGTGTGATGGATCTGTTAAAAAGGTTTCTGATGGAACACTTAGAGGATAAAACACGGTAGAGTGCAAGCAGCAGGGAGTGCAAGCAGCAGGGAGTTAAACATTCAAAGTTCTCACTATTTTTCCTACAGTTTACCCAGAAACAGATTACATTTTCCACATCGTCTTGACAACCCACAGCAGGAAACACAGTGGAGTTATATATTAGCTCTACTACTGGTGAGCTGTTAACTCTGAGGATCTAACACCACAGCGTGATACACACAACTCTTACTGTAGCTGAACTACATGAAGCATCATCAGCTCCTTTACAGTAACATTAGAAGTGAACTTTAATGTACTCTATGTAATAGCTTTAAATCCACGGCTGCTTTCACACCTCCCACCAGATACACCTCGTTCTCCTTTGCTGCCTCCGACAGCACCTGGGTGGATTCTCCTGGGATGTTCTCGGCATATCTGGAGAAGAAGCTGGTCCCATATGGAGAATTGAAGCATTCCTGTGTTAACGACAGGGAGATCATAAGCTCATAGGGTAAATCTGAGCAGTCCAAAAAGGCAGCTCATCTGAGGGTCCTGTGCTGGGAACTTTTTAGAAATATTTCATTCCTGCACTAACGGATGTCCAGAAAAGGGAACAAACAGTTCATAAAAACACAAAGACGACACCGCGTTAATGGTAAAGCGCCGTCCTCTCAGGGGACACGTCTTTTAAATAAAATCTACAGCTGTATTTGTCCCCGGACACTGGCTTGTTTAGTTGGTTGTATTTTAAAATAAGCACTTCAGACTGCTGACAAGCAGCCGTGAGGCGCCCTTCCTCCTCCTCCTCACCGGTAGCAGCACCACTTTGCTGCCCTGTCCTGCAGCCTCCCTCACCAGCCCCCGGGCTCTGCTCAGGTTGTCTGCTTTGACGCTGCTCACCTGCAGCTGAACCACCGCCAGACGGAACTCTGAGGAAACAAACACGGAACTTCAGCGAGTGACGGAGAGCCGCAGGCTTCAAACCCGCGCTCAGCGATTTAACATTAAACTGCGAAACACGGAGAACTCTGTACTTACTGGACATGACTTTGGCTAAAGTAGACATGTACACACAGGACTATCCGCTCACTACACCGCGCCACAGTCCGGTCATGTGATTCCGGGTGGCGGATTGGTTTTCAAAATAAGAGACCTTGATTTAACATAAAAAAATAAATAAAGAGTACTAAAACAATATTAGTAAGTGTTATTTTTAGGTGAGTTGACGATATAAATTTAAGCTTATGAAAAACTGAGGTCGTTAAACGTGAAGATTTAAGGCGGTGTAACGTCACAGGGGGTGGGTCGATCCAGCACAAGATTGTCATTGTTATTCACTTTTCTGGTTAATAAACAGTAAAAATGATGTAAGGATCTCAGTGGCTCTGCTCAGTAATAACGTTCCTAAATATAACGTGTATTTCCAAGTAAAAAAAAATAAAAAATAAGATGAACTAGCATTAATGAACCTCAGCGATTAAAAAATAGGGGGATTACTCAGGGTACACAAGTAGTGTCAAACCTTCCACTGCAGAGAGAATAGCTAAGCTATATATAGGAAAGGAAAAACAAAAATATTCAAAAGGAGGACTGTGACCCTGTTTGAAGTATATAAAGGATTACGATTTTTAAATGTTTTTTCCCTGGACATAAAACAAACAAGTTGCTTTTTGCTTGCTTCTTGTTTTTTGCTTATTTGACTAATATGATAAACTAAGAAAAATATATTTTGCAGAATAATACTAAAGTAAATGAAGAACAAAAAATTAGTGTGGGCCATGATTAAAACCACAATTAATTTTGTTCAGGCTTTGAATAATTTTTATTCAAAGATTTAAACAGCAAAAAAAATTAGGATGAGAAATTTTCCTGCAGGTTGTTAGAACAGGGGCGTGTCCAGAGGGGTGGCATGGGGTCATACCACCCACCCCTGCTGTCTTACTGACTTACCAACGTCTTACAATGTCAGCACAGGCAGGACTCATGGAGAAAGGTAATTTAGTATATATGCTTACAAACTTTTAATGTTTCATTGTACTTGTACTTTAAGTAATTTCACATTACATTACCTTCTACTTCTATTGGACAATATTTTCAATGCAAATAACGTACTTTCTACTTGATACTGTTCATCTTAAGGCTGTAGTTTAATATTTTATTTTTGCAATACTTTTGTTAAAGCCTTGAATTAAGGCTGAGAGTTTCACTTCAATCACATCTTGTTTACAATCCACTTTGCTGTACAGAAAAAATTAAAGTTAATGTCCAAAAACCTTTGGTCACAACTGCATGTCAAATGCTGTTTCACAATGAGTGTGTCCAAACGTGCAGTCAAATAATCTCCATTTATTAAAAACAGAAATGCTTAGAAAATAACAGCAGTACAGTAAGGTGCAAATTACATTTGAGACAGGTTGCATTCTGGACTAGTGGTTGACAGCCTGATCCAGTGATGTTACAGAGAATGTAAAGACTCCCAGTCGAGGATGTTCCAGTCAATGGGAAAATATCAGAAAAGCACAACAACGCATGGATTACACAGGAATGCTTCGGACTGGAGGGAGGGTCGGGAACAGATTTTGTCTTGAATTCTACTTTGCTCAGTTTAAATGTGCTTTTCAGTCTGAGAAAGGGGTCAATGCCCTCTGGGCTGAAGTTTAAACTGCAACTGTCACACTGGAGGTCTCTGTGGGAGGCTGAACACACAACTAGACTTCAAAGCAAATAAATAAGCAGGAAGAAAGCAAGAATGAGTCCAAGCAGATTTCATGACTAAAGAATAAGATACGGCGATCGAGGGGGGCGTGGCAATTCTGAAACAGACCAATCGCACATTAGTGTGACACCCATGTGGAGCTGTTAAAGCATGCAAAATAAAACCGTTCAGCCGAACCTTAAACGCCACCGCTCTACGAACAGAACCGCGATTTTAGAGGATCTTCACGCCACTGCTGGTGCCCATATCGCACGTCACAGGCATGAGGCCGAAGGCAACAGTGGCAAGCAAACTGAAACTGCTCAGTATGGACTGCAGACTGCTTAACACAGTATATGGTTTTAGCTAATACATGAGACAGACAGAGATATATATTTATATATAAATATGGATGCACCGATTATGAAATTGGATACTGATGTTACAAAAAAATTTGGCTGATAGATGACGTTTTTCTTTTTCCTCTTATGTTGCCTTTTTCCCAGGGAAACAGAAATCTTCACCCTGTAAAAATAATTTCTATTTTTTTAAAGCTTTTCATCACTTTGGAAATTAAGTCAGCACGAAAAATCATGTGACAGCACAGATGAACACTGGGGCCTGTAAGTGGGAAACATCCATCAGAAGTCAACAGCGGCCCATTTATCAGTGTAGTCGTGATAACTTCACATCAGCGGTTCTCAAACTTTTTGTAGCACGCCTGCCACTCAAAAACATGAGACGATCAATAGCAATTAAAAAAAAATCTAATCTGAATTTTAGTGAAATAAATGTCACCACAACCACACCAAACTCTCGTCTACTTTTGTACTTTCAAAAAAAATCATACTCATCCACGGTGGATTAACCTCATGTTTCCCCCCTGGTCATAATCACCTGTGGATCTGTGCACCACAGTTTGAGAACCACCTGTGCTGCTCTTCTATTCTGTGTGGACAGAAAAGTTGTTTATGTGGGTCAGAAATGAGATCAGCTTTTTGTGCACCGTGAAAACCGTCTTTAAAGTGGACTTCATATGCTTTTACTTATTTCCTGTCATACACGAATACTAAACATATGGCCACACTTTCAAATAATCACATCAGCTATGTCCGCGTAATCCCCATAAGCCCAAGCTCAGACTTCCGACTGCTCTCAGGGCTCGGGGTTACACACTTTGACTTGTATGATGTCAAAGAGATCACATCAGTGCTGTTCGGGGGCCAATCAGAATACAAGTTGCCTTAAAAGAGGAGGAACTTTAGACAACAGATGAACTGAAGCTGGAGGACAACATAAATAATGATTATTCTGCACTGCCAGTCATGCAAAGCTACTCTAGTTGAATCCAAAAATAAAAATAGAGCTGCAAATGAGCATATCAGGTCCATTCCTTTCAAACCTCTGCAGCTCGTTAGTGTGATCTTTTCATTCTCCCTAATGTTTCAGCCTTCTGGATATAATTTACTCATCGGGGGATGTCATTCACATGGTGAATCTGACTGGGACGAGAAAATACTGAGGTGCTCATAATGTAGTCCAGAGAGGCTTTCTGGGAGCTACATCAGACTGCTATGAGATGAGGTTAATCAATTTTCATAAAACCAGAAAATCAGAAAGAAGGGGAACTTCAAACCTGGCAAAGTTTACAAGTTTCACTGCATATTCTCTCAGGATATGCTTTCAAAATGACATTGCAAAGGTCTGTATACAGAGCAGTTTACACGATATATATATACACACATTACATATTTATAAACTAACCGTCAAATAGTTTATATTTAAGGCTGCCTGCTGGAAAAGTAAAGTTATCAAAAACAGTTACTGCTGTAGGAAATCTGCTTCATGTGCCAGTACTGCTTTTCTGGGGGTGGGGGTGTGCATCGTTATGTCCGAGCTGGCTGACTCATGCTGACCAGATGATCGTTAAATCTACGCAACATGTTACGAGAAACTCAATACTGCTCACATCAAAAGAATGGGTCATCATCAAAACGCTCAGGTGGAAAAGAAAAGGTCAGTCACGTGTGGATGAAAGAAGTTCGCCACTGGTCGGTCAGTACGCTACGTTAAGGCCAGCGGGAACTCATCAGAGTGGAGCTCCTCTGTAATGAGATCCCATTTTATACTAACAGTAGAGAAGAACATACAGTACAACCAATATTTCTTTTTAAATAAGTATAATATAATGGTTGGATGACAGCGGAGCACCTAAATATTTCAACACTCGCAGCCTGGCTCACAGGTCTGCAGTCAGCAGTGTGCCCACGTCCCAAAGACAGACACACGGGGCTTCACAGTCAACACTGCACTGGGATCTGTCCAGGAGGGAGAGTAGGTTTCACCGGCGGAGCCTCTTCCTACAGTTTGTATTAATCTCCCAAAACGAGCTCACCACCACCATTTATGAGCTCTCCAGGGCATCCAGGACTTTCATGATCTGCTGCTTGATGACCTTCGTGGCATCGCCCGCATTGGGAATCAAATATCTGAGACAGAGAAACAGACATTAGCTGAAAGGGAAAATGTTAATAAATCGTAAAGCCACTACTTTAAAATTCATGTCTGATTAGTTTTTCATCTGCGTGCAGACAAGCACCTCTCAACCGCTGAAATCTCCACTCCAGCTGAATTGTTGGTTCCAAACTTGAACGTGATCAGCTCTGGGTGCTTCTTTTTGGATGTGATCTTCACCACTGAGTTCAGCGCTTGTCTGGACTGGATGTAAGCAAAGCCCTTCCTTGTGGCGATCTCCCTCAGGCAGTACATGTGAGTGGCTGTGATCAACAAGTGACTGGAAACATAAAAGAAGAATCAGTGTTAGGAGTTAATGTTTAATAAGTGGCCGCAGCGCTTGCTTGTTTATTCGTTTCTCATTGCACAAACTCGTCCACCCTTGGACCAAGGCCAGGAAGATGGTCAAGGACCTCAGCCATCCCAACAACAGACTGTTCTCTCTGCTGAGGTCAGGAAAGCGATTCCGCTCCCTGAAGACCAACACAGAGAGACTGAGGAGGAGCTTCTTCCCGCAGGCGATACGGTCTCTCAATCACACCACCACACAGTACTGACCCACACATACAGTTCTTACACACACACTGGACTTTCTGGACTTTGTTTTCACTTCATCACTTAAATCACTTTAAGCATATTTGCACTGCACAAGACATTATGTGGATCGCACAACACTGGACATTATATTCTTCATTTCCAGTTAATACTTGTACAGCTGCTGTTATTGTGTATATATTTATTTATATTTCTTCATACATTCTTATATAGTTCTATATTGTGTATTTTGTTGTACAGTTATTTTATTTTCAACTTTAATTTATATTATTTTCCCAGTTGGCTATGTATATATATAATTACTATTATTTGCAAGTTCGGGACCAGTACTGCAGAGGGTCAGGCAAGTCCTGAGGAGTCAGCTGAATGGTAAGAACAAGATCCGGGCCATCAACACGTACGCCCTGCCCGTGATCAGGTACCCTGCTGGGGTAATAGGCTGGCCAAAGGAGGAGATAGAAGCCACTGACATAAAGACAAGAAAGCTCCTTACCATGCATGGAGGGTTTCACCCCAAGTCCAGCACCCTGAGGCTGTACGCTAAGCGGAAGGAAGGGGGCCGGGGACTGGTGAGTGTCAGCACCACAGTCCAGGATGAGACAACGAACATCCAAGAATACATTGGGAAGATGGCCCCAACTGACCGAGTGCTCAGTGAATACCTCAGGCAGCAGAAACCCAAGAAAGAGGAGGGAGACGAGGAACCATCATGGAAGGACAGGCCCCTGCACGGTATGTACCACCGGCAGATAGAGGAGGTGGCTGATACCCAGAAATCCTACCAGTGGCTGGACAAAGCTGGACTGAAAGACAGCACAGAGGCACTAATCATGGCAGCACAAGAACAAGCTCTGAGTACAAGATCCATAGAGGCTGGGGTCTATCACACCAGGCAAGACCCCAGGTGCAGGCTGTGTAAAGATGCCCCAGAGACAATCCAGCACATAACAGCAGGGTGCAAGATGCTAGCAGGCAAGGCATACATGGAACGCCATAACCAAGTGGCCGGCATAGTGTACAGGAACATCTGTGCCGAGTATAACCTGGAAGTCCCGAGGTCAAAATGGGAGATGCCCCCAAGGGTGGTGGAGAATGACCGAGCTAAGATCCTGTGGGACTTCCAGATACAGACGGACAAAATGGTGGTGGCTAACCAACCGGACATAGTGGTGGTAGACAAACAGAAGAAGACGGCCGTAGTGATCGATGTAGCGGTTCCGAATGACAGCAATATCAGGAAGAAGGAACACGAGAAGCTGGAGAAATACCAAGGGCTCAGAGAAGAGCTCGAGAGGATGTGGAGGGTGAAGGTAACAGTGGTCCCCGTGGTAATCGGAGCACTAGGTGCGGTGACTCCCAAGCTAGGCGAGTGGCTCCAGCAGATCCCGGGAATAACATCGGAGATCTCTGTCCAGAAGAGCGCAGTCCTGGGAACAGCTAAGATACTGCGCAGGACCCTCAAGCTCCCAGGCCTCTGGTAGAGGACCCGAGCTTGAAGGATAAACCGCCCGCAGGGGCGTGCTGGGTGTTTTTTTTGTTTTATATTTCTTCATACATTCTTATATATTTCTATACTGTGTATTTGTTGTCCAGTTATTTTATTTTCAACTTTAATTTATATATTTTATCTTATTTTATTCCTTCCAGTTAAATTTACCCTTTTTAATTTTCATATTTATTTCCTATCTTATTCATAGCCTTTTCTTTTTCTTTAGGTCACGAGCAGTTGTGTAAGCATTTCACTGCATATCGTACTGTGTATGACTGTGTATGTGACAAATAAAATTTGAATTTTGACACCCAGGGAAGGATGTCAAAAACTGTGCTCAAGAAGCCAAAAACATACTTTCACCTCAATGGGAAGCATCACGATTTCAGTGAAGAAAATTAAATTATCAAGAAATGTTAGTCATTCACATTTTCCTCTCTTCTTGCAAAGACATACACTTTACTTTGAAAATCCTGAAAGTTCCCAGGACACTTGCAATTCTTAATATTCAGTCGATTATAGGGCTGTGCATATGACCAAAATCTCATATCCGATATAAGACATCTATCGTCCGATAACGATATAAATCACAAAAATGTAACATTTTCTGTAAATTCTGTGAATCTCGGGCAGCTCGACTTGGTGAAGTGTTTCCAGCTGCGCGTCGTGTAGCTGGAGTCGAGTGTTTTAACCGATGCATGAAACGATACATTTTTAGACATAAGTTGTAACGGCGCCGTTTTCTTTGTGAGTATTTATTACACGGCGTGCTGCGGGGAAAAGCCTGTTCTAACGTTTGAGTCTAAGGTTTATTTTTTAGCACCTGGCGGCTCTTTTTACTTCTCATCCGTAAATAATCTGCTCTTTCACGTGATTCAGTTTATTTTGAAAAGTCTCAACAGGATCTTGAGCTTTATTGTGAAAGGTTTATGTGGAACATAAACAAGCGGACACGCGATGCTGTTACCGTCGTTGTTGCTAACACAACGCATAAAAACAGGCGCTTGTCCGTCTGTAGTGTGGTTATATTAAATATAAGAGAAAGAGAGAACTTTAAGAAATGAATAAGCCACTACAGTGACCATCAAACGCATGAAAAAATATTGCCGTAAACAGTTTATTTTGCGACACCACGAAACAAACGATAGCGTAAAATGAAACGATAGATGTTTTTATATCGTCATCAGATATATATCGTTATATCGAACAGCCCTATCGATTAATGCTGTCAAATTTAGTCAAATGCTGCAAGACATGTGGGATGGTATTTTATAGCGCAGATGGATAATGATCCAAAGCTTCCTGCAAAGCTAACCCAAGAGTTTCTGAAGGAAAAGAAATGGCCAAGTCAGTTACGTGATCTCTTTTCAGTTACTGAAGATAAAACTGAAAGCAGAAAGACCCATAAACAAGCAGCAAGTGAAGGCAGACGCGGTAGGCGTGGCAGAGGAAACACAGGATTTATTGATGTTCATGGGTTCCAGACTTTATCCAACTATTAAAAACAATCCTTGTATTTAAACGTATGTTAGCTTGTTCAATTAATTTGGAGCCTCTGAAAATCAGGAACTATGTTCAGGAAGCAGTGAAGCACCTTACCTTAGTATTTAAAGACTTCAACCTGCCCTTATTATGGCTGCCATGCAATATGCTTCAAGGTCACTGTACTCATTTAAAACGTTTCCTAAACAAAACTGACAGCTTACCTGGGGAACATGTGACCCGTTTCTTTCACCTCGTTACATGGAATATGATGTTTTACATCAGGTTTGTTTATCCAGGTCTGAATGTTGACAATCTCCTTCCGGTCATCATCAGATATGGAGGAACTGTCTATCTCATCTGGCAGGAAGATCAGATGGAAGTAATCATTTTGTTCTTCAAAATAAAAGCCCTCACAATGCTTAAATATTCCACAAAATAATACCCTCTTCTAATTGTAATCTGCGTTTGCTGTAATTTTACCTGTATCGTACTCTTCTTCATCAGCAATACTGAACACAGGCTTCACTCCCCGGTAAGGTTTGCCGACGCGGTCGCTGCTGCTCACATGCCTGATTACAGGGGGCAACAAGGCAGGTCAGAGCATTATAGCCACACTAGATAATTATACATTAAGTGCATTAAACAGTTTGCACACAAACATCAATGGCATGAAGACCTCCAGCCTGCAGTAAAAAAATATTAGCCCACTACTGCCACAGGTTGTGCTGTTAAATACAAAAAGGAAGAGGTTAAACGAGACATTTCTAGCTCGACATCTGGGTTACAGATTAGTGGTTGTATGATATTCAGGGCTATTTAAAGCAAATTATAGTTTATTTTATGGTTTTGCATAGCCCTGACTATCATCTGAAAGAACTATAATGAAATGGAAAGACAGACTTTTCAGTGCATCTCCAAGCAAACAAAGGTGAAGCCAAAGGCCTCGGTGAGTTAGACTAGAAAACGACGACCTTGTGGATGTAAAGATGACTCAATGCTTCCTAAAAGGCTGGAGCAGCTCTGACAGTGCAGACAAAACAGCAGTTTTATGTTGTTAGTGAAAGCATGAAGAGAAATTCTAAGAAACAGTATCTCATAGACAGCCTGCTGCCCGTACTGTATGGGAACGTGTGGTGTTGTTACATGAGTGTAGGCAGGTGTAGGCGGAGATGCTGATAATAAGCATGCGTTAAAAGTCTCCAAAATCCTGGGAGTGGTGCGGGTCTACAGCCAGTGGGCATGCCAGTGGTAAACATCTGGATGTTTGGGAGTTCTTACCGATCTGGAATCACCTTCTCTGGCCAGGGTAGATTGAAAGATATTCTATTATGGGATAAGGCACAAGGAACTTAATTTCATGACAGGAAATATGGAAAAGCAAATATGGTGTTTTCAGTCAGGTGTAAATATGCACTAAACCCAAACTAGCAGGATGTCAAAAAACGGTCAATTTTAACTGTTCTGGTAGAATTTCATCTGAAGAGGGATCAGTTGGCTCTCAGAAGGCGCTCTGGTACTTTGGTTTTTAGTATTTGATATGTGAGAAGAATCACAAATTTGATTTTTTTTCAGTGTTATAATATTAATTTGCATTCTGTTATTGTAGCAAACTGTATGAGTTACACAGAAAATTGAGAGTGTGTGTTGCAGTGTGAGCTTCAGTGGTGAATGTTTTGAGGAACTAGTTTCTCACCTGTCGACGGGGGCAGAGGTATTCTCAATGAAGCTGATCATCTTCTCCTTAACATTGACCGACTTGGACTTGAGAGCAAATGTCATCTTGTTGACCAGGGACTTCACACCTTTGCTGTCTCCAGGGCCGCTCAGAGACTCTCCCTGTATTCATGGGAAAATGTAACAATCCGTGCCATCAGACAGAAGATCTCTCTTAACACCTCCAGTGTGGAGCATATTGTGATGTTTATGTCCTTTATGATAAAGGGGGTTGGCTGGCTCCCCTAACTTCTTACATCAGCTGAGCTGAGGCTGCTGTGAGATCCAGATGTGCTGACGATCCAGTGGACGTACGAGGAGTCAAGCCCCTCGACGTTCATGTCTACCAGGTGCTGCTGAAGAGCTGGAAGTACACGTGTCTCTGTGAATTTTAGCTTTCACAATTTGCTGTACTGCAGTTGTGACCAAAAGACAGATATATAAAAATGTGGATGTGTACAAGTTTCTCAGAAACATCTCTCTCTATCTACCCTATATACATACATATATGTACAAGAAATGAATATAGTATTTTAACTTTATTTCATGCTAAAAAATGATGATGGATTTGTCCAAACAAGATCCTGACAAATCACTGACAGCCACTGCTGCATCACCTCACCGACGTAACCATTACAAAAACTATAACTTACACATACACGCAAAAATAGGCCTCTCCATGTTCATATTACTTCTCTGTGTGTATGCAGACTAATGTGCTTGTCAGTATTGTCATTTTCCTACTCACCCATAAAACCTCCTTTTGCGATGCTGACATACTCTTTGTTTTTCTGTAACAGAAAGCTTGAAATTAGCCGATCTGCTAGAATATCATCCATAATATTGCAAAACAAAGATCACAAAATCATTTGTTTTGCCAAACAAGGTCACACAATTCTCATTTTTCCAGTTAAGACTTTTAGTGATTACTACTTTTTTTTAAGCATGAATTATAATGACTTTCCTGCTTCTGCTTCGTTTATTTTATTTTATAAGCAAACAGAGATTTTGACATTTTGAAAAATCTAAAGGAAACGTTTGGTTTTTTTTGGTTTTTTTTTTATTATATTTTCTTTTCTTTTTTTTTAAAGGAAACGTTTGTAATCGTTATATGGATCCCACTTTCACAGCTCACCTGCAGGAAATGTGCCAACACCATGTTCATGTACATGTCTTCCTCTTCTCTCCCGCTGCCCATGAAGCACAGGTGCTCTCCGCTGGCGATGGAACCCGACTCTAAAGACTGCTTCTGTGTCTCCAGGAGGGACTTCACAGAGAGTGCAAACTCAGATGGGTTCTGGAGCATCTGTAAGAAGACATAAAGCTTGTTTTATATTCGTTTACTGCAAATATATTTTTCAAAGAATCCCTAAAGCCCCTGTCCCTCACCAGGTCTGAGTCCAGGTGGAAGGCTGTGGACAGATGGCCAGCATTGTACTGCTCTGCAGGCCGGCAATCCACCACGAAGAAACGTACCCCATCCTAAAAAAAAAAGAAGAAAAAGTCCAGTTTCCTCACATCCTCTTTCTTCCTTAAACTCACAGGGCAAACTTGAGAACTGTTAATAATTTCCCACTCAAAGTGTCACTGACCTGCTGCAGCTGGTTTGCCTGCAGGATTTCAGGGACAGACACAGGGAGGCACAACGCCTGACTGAGGTCAGTGTCCTCCTCTTTGAGAGCCACCAGACTGCTACCAAACAGATTCTGATTCATCTACAGAAACAGACAAAGGGAAACAAACAATGAGGTTTTTTTAGATGCTGCCGTTGTCTCTTTGTTTATATTCAGCACTGCTCAGTTTTTATTTGCTTCACCTTTCTGAGCGACAGAGGGGTTTTGCTCTGGTAATACTGGGCCAGTGAAAACAAGTCTTCAATGTCCTCGGACTCCAGGAGAGAAGGAGACGCTTCCAGCATTTCTGGGATGAATTTTTTTTTCCACATTTAATTACATTAAAAAGACGTTCAAAAACTGTACAAATGAGAAGAGAGGAACAAACTCACTGATAATGTCCTCTTTGCTTTCTCCCTCTTGTGTAAGAATGGTCTCTCTGAGGATACAAACAAAAACAAACTTTCAGAGCTGGCACAAACAGCCACGAGCTGGATTATCTTTCTGGCTGCATACTTGGCATTGACGAGGATGATAAGCATGAGAAAGAAGATGAGAAAAGGGTCCGCCTGCTGGAGGTACGAGTCCCACAATGTCTGGGTAACTTCAGGAAGGCAGTGGCTTGAAAACAGACTACCCAGCTGTGGAACAGAGACAAACACAGACGCATCGTTTGCCATGGCCACATGAAGAGCAGTGTTACTTGAGCTCTAGAGCTGCACAGGTGGAGAACAGCTGATGAAAAAATATGGAGTAAATGTATGTGAACGAATATCACTTCTGCAGGGGGAAAAAATGCTTGCACCAACTTTTATTTCACCAAAATTGAAGCTGTATGCCGTTAATTGTTTTTGACTGAATCTTTTTCTGAAATGGGGCAAAAATGTTGTAAAACTTATTTAACATGAGGCAACATACCCAGTTGATGGCATAGGAGTCTGGTGTGATCTTTTTGGTGTCCAAGAACGAGCATAGCTCTGGCTCGTGATACTGCAGCAGTAGTCTGTACAGGTGGAAGGGTCGGCCTTTGGGCACACAGTCCCTGAAACGGGAAAGCTTTTACAGTCAAAGCCTGCGTGTCTGTGTGAGTGGGGTGAAGGGGACAAGGAGGCTGAGATGACTCACCGAGGGATGTATTTGTTCATGATAGCATAGAAGCAGTTGTAGAGGTCGCTCCGGGGTAGATGAAGCCCCAGCAGCGGTTTGAGCAGGTGCGGCCAGCTGAGCTCAGGGGTGAAAGTGATGTTACGCGACTTGCAGTAGAAAGTGATGACTGACTCAACGTCGGACACCATTTCACTCCTCTCTTCCTCTGACACTGCCAGCTGGTCTAAACATGGGACACACGGAGGGGGTCGGCAGTTTTAGTTATCTTTTCCAAATAGGTCCAGTTTTTTTTTTCCTATCGATGCATTAAATGATGTCATTATTATCAGATTTCTATTCAATTGAATCTCTCCCCATAGTTTCACGTCAGTATATTATCTAAACTTGTGACAGCCGTTCATGCTCACAGCTCCGTACTCCTTTAAATAAATGACGGGACTTTTGGTTTGAATTTCAAATTAGAGGAGGGTGTGACAAAGACTGGAGGGGAGGGGAGCTATTCTACTGAACAAGAAGGGAAAAAAGTACAAAGTTAGAGGAGGCTAGATGATTCATGATGTATGGAAGCGAGGCTACCCCGATGGTATACTCCCCGTTTTTTCTATCTAATGTAGGAAGTGGTAAATAAACTCCTCTGCATCTCTTCAGCAGCAAGAGTGCTGCTCCACTGAGGCGTTTTTGCATTATGGAGGGCGGACAATGCTACCTCAACAAGGAAGCGTTAGTATCTTCCCACACCAGCGTCGGAAACTCACAGGAACATGATAGGAAACTGAGATTAGGGAGAAGATTTAAACCTTTAAAGAAAGTATTTTTAAACCAAACATAACATTTCTGGAGGATCATCAGGGCTTCAGAAGTCTTAGCAGTAGATCACCAACATCACACAGGCACAAACTCTCATATTCAGCCCATTAGCAGCGCATCATATCAGACAAGAGTTGCAATAAGATAAACTGCAAACAGCAGATCGATGTTATTACTAAATACTTTGTTTTTTGTAGACAGTCGTCTCAGAGCCAGCTGCACACAGAGACCAGTGCTATTAGTCCAGAGCAACTCTATTTAATGAAAATGAGCTTTTAGTTTCTTTTCTGACTTAAAGATAGGACTTAACATGCTTTATGAGTTAATAATCCAAAGAGTTCAAATATGTGAATTTTATCCCTAATTTTAAAAAGAAATCTCATCTAAGCCGAGCTTGTTTTTCCCCCACAAATATCCAACTTTAAACTCAAACAGCCTATAATTTTTTTCTTGAATTTTAGGCCCTTAACCTCACCAGCCAAACCCAGTGGATCTTAAATGTTGAGATATGGAGCCAAAAAACAAAATAGAGCAAAATTCCTGACACAAATAAATCACTGACTTTTACTAAAGTAAAAATTTATTCTCAAGTTGGATGTGCCAGAAAACGCTTGAGAAACTCACTTCAAATCCAAAAGTCAGGACTGCGTCAACGTATTCAGAGGCACCGACATTTACTCACCGATCAGCTGCTGACTCCGGTTATGAATGAGCTTCTGTTCTGGTAAATCGAGGACACCGTCCCAGGAAGCCAGGCTGTCGCCTTTTCCGGAGACATTGAGAGCAATCTGCAAAAACAAAACAAGGATTCAGTGCTGAGCACGGGGAGAAAAGGAGACCTGACATTCAGGAAATAAAGACTGATCTGCTATAAGTGGCCAAAATCTCACTGCACTGATGGACAACAAATTCATACACATGAAGAAAATACTGTAGAAGCTGCTGATATTATTTTTGGAACATTTTGAGAGAAAAAAACGAAATTAATTAAAAAAAAAAAAAACTCTGCACCCTCTAGTTCAGCGGTCCCCAACCCCCGGGCCTCGGACCGGTACCGGTCCGTGAGTCGTTTGGTACCGGGCCGCGAGAGTTGAGGCTCAGGTGTGAAATGTCTGGTTTTCAGGGTTTTTATCGGTTTCCAGCGTTATTTTGTTATCGTTTTTATCGTTAACTCGGTTTTCCTGGTCTTTTCACGTGTGTTATGAATAAATCTTCTTTTTTTCGGTACCGGTACTAGTTTTATTTTGTTGTATTTATCCGCGACACCTTAAAGGCCGGTCCGTGAAAATATTGTCGGGCATAAACCGGTCCGTGGGACAAAAAAGGTTGGAGACCGCTGCTCTAGTTTACCCCAGTACAGCTGCAGAGCGATGAACAGGTAAAACAGGCTCCAGATCTCAATGAACTTGGCACGCAGCTAAAGCAAATAATTGTTTTTGTTTTGAAAAGTAACAAAGTGGTAAAGATACGTTTCTTCATGTCTCCCTTAGGGAGGCCATATTTACTCACCGACAACTTTGAAAGTTCATTTGATATCTTTAGATTTTTTATGAGCAGTCATTTTCATACCTCCAGGCTGTAACATGGAAACCACACGATTACAGACTTTTCATTCTTTTTTTTTTTCTCAAACACACAACCACTGAGTTATCAAGTTGAAGCTGCAGGAATGAGAAGACCATAGTGAACGCTCCAGATTGCAGCATCTGCTTTGATGCGAAGGTTGTACCAGTGTGTTGTGTTAAAGAGAAACCTGACTATGAAGGGAATGCAGTTGATTAACTGGTCAATCTGCGTTCCCACTCTCACTTATGATCAGAATGAGACTGCAGATACAAATGGTAGAAATGAGCTTTCTTCTTTTTGAAGGCCGCCTGCTCTAGGGGAGCTTTTTGAGGTAATCTGGACATCTGACCAGGATACCTCCTGGACATGTCATATGTTTTAGGTATGTCCAACTAGGACATGACCCTCAGGCAGACCCAGGACTCCCGGAGGAGCTAAAGAAAGTGACTGGTGAGGAGGAGGTCTAGGAATTATGGCTTAGACGTGCTATCACAAAACAGACGCCCACTCCACAGAGTTGTTATATTCAGGCTTGTGAAACAGGTTGTTTAAAATCAGAATCCATTATTTTGTTTTGGTAAATGGAGTGCTTAGCTTTAAAAATAAATAAATAAACAATTATATAACATATCAATCAAATGTAAATGTCTGGCCCGTGATATTTTTTGTCATTTCACGTGTGGCCCAAGTGAATTTCAGTTTATAGTCTATGACTTATACGATGATTAATGGAGCAAAGTGCAAATTTTTACTTTTAGGTCAGAATGTTTTCAGAATTTGACACAAACAACAAAAACTACACCTACTTTATTCTCATTTTTAAGGTTTTCCTAAAGTGAAAAAATAAATCTTGCATCTGCTCTCCTGCACTGATAAACACTTTGTGTTTGATTTGACTTTAAGCATTATTTGAACTTTTTTATAATAAACCAAATTATTCAATTTTATGAGGTGTAAAATTAAAGGCTCTCTGAACTTTACACAGTGACTAAAAGGTCTCCTAATGATATTATCAAACAGCCTATTATCAGACACAATAAACATCCCATTCAAAGCTGCTTTACAACTGGGTGCAGCCGATGACGTGTCTTTTCACAGGCTGGTATTTTGCATGTGAAGCCAAGACGAGTCAGTCACCTATAAGTAGCATCATTATTGTCATCCACATGCTTGACATACAATACTGACTCTTGTTATGTGATGTAAGACATAACTGAAGTCTTTTCTTTGGGTGTGCCAATAAGAGATGATCCAGTCTACTCACACCTTAACGTAAGAATTCTTGCCTTCTGTCCACAGACGTACAAAGTATGTTGTACATGTCTAATAACTGTTTGAAACCATAATCTAACAGCTGCAACGTTCTCACCTTCCACATCTTGGCCCTGTGTTCAGCTGACTGCTCCTGGACCTGGATGGTGCCCCTCTCCATCTCCATGTCTGAGCCACCAGAGTCAAGAGCGTCAATGAGATCCTGGTCCCTGAAGAGTAACGAACGGCACAGTTACAATCCCACAAAATATAAAGATAAAAGTTCATAGGCTGAAAACAAAACATAAGATTTGAAGAGTTCATTTTAAGGTAAATTATTACACCAAGGTTCAGAGTAAACCCATGCAAAGGCTCACTGATGCAGAAACAATATCATTACTAATAATACCACTATAAACGACAAAACTGCCAATCTTCAAAATTGTGCTGTACTGTCCAGCACTACGTTTTATTAAGTTCATACATCCATCTTCCCGAGGGGGCTGCAGTGTATGTTACAGAGCAAGAGACAGGTTGCTAGTTTGTCGCAAGGCTAACAAAGACATACAGATAATGTTTACACCTATGGGCAATTTAGAAACAGCAGTTAACTGGTGAAGCGAGAGTAGTAATCACACAGAGAACATGCAAACTCAAAGAAAGACAGGGTCAGATGGTGGATTCAAATCCATGACTTTCTCGCTGTGAGGCAACAGGGTTAACAACATGTATTATTATTAACTTCATATTTAACTCAATCATTATTCACATCTGTGTAATTATGTAAATTATGTCAGCTTTTACTAAATGCCCTGTGTTGTTTATTGCTCTTAATTTACATCTTAATCTTTTTTTTTTAATACATGTTAATTTAACTCCGCATACAGACAGGTGACAAACTCAAGAGGAAAACAATACAGCAACATCATAAAAGGGGGCATTCACAGCTTCCCTGTGAATCTGTGTGTTGGTTCTCCAAATCTCCAAAGAGATGAACACCATTTTTAGATATTTCCTCATCTGACGTTTTGATGAAGCCGCAGTGTCTAACGCATGTGTTCAAAATCTCCGATGGTTGTATGTACACATTTATACATATGTATAAAATCCAGGTCACTTTTATACTCATGGAACTCCTCAGTGACCCGTGCACTGTGACAAATGGCAGTGTCACAGAAGAGGTCTTTCTTAACAAAGTAGAAACATTTCACGATAGATCTGAATGGACACGCACCATTCACACCAACAGAGCTACCAGAGCCCTCTCTGCTGGTCTATCGTTCAGGTTTTTCCTTTAATCTGACACATGAAGACCTCTTTCACGATGCCAACCACCTTAATGGCAGCTGCTTTAAAAGTTTTTAGATATAACCAGCACTTTTCTATAAACTCTTTTCTATATTTCAGAGTAAAATAAAACTGGAACAACAGAGTGAAGCTGGGGTAGATTAAAGGGAAGCGGCTGTCCGCCTAAATATTAGCTGTCCGGCTAACATTGCTACTAAACTTCCCACTGAGGCGGAGAAAACGATAAAAATGTAGACTTCGTCACCGAACAGACTTAAAAGCTGTTATTTTATCCGTCTGAGATTTATCGACCGTTAATTTATCAGAACCGGGTTAGCTAATTGTCATGTAGCTGGCTAGCTGGTAAGCAGTAACGTCACCAAACTCCAGCACTATTTTAAACACAAAAACTCATCTTTAGTTACTTTACACGGAAATCTGCGACAAAAATCCGACGCGACTGTCTGACAATCGAGACAAAGGCTCCGAAAATATTGACTGAACAACAAATTGTCTCACCAGCTGCCCCGAAGAGCTTCCTCCACGGCATCCGCCATTGTTGTGTTGACGGAGACACGTCAGATGTCGTCAACACGCGCGCGTTATGCGCGGTGACGTCACCGAACAACGAGGGGTCGAGATTGACAAGTGAAATCAAAGTGCGATAAGAAACTGATGAGAAAACTACTTGTTTGCTTTGATTTTGGGCGCTAAAAGTTAATAATTGATCAACAAACAGAGAAAAACAGAAAACATCATCAACATGTGCTGACCTCAGAGTTTAATCCCAACAACCTTCCTGTGTGATGAAGAAACAATTTACACACAGTGACACGAGCCTAAACGTGGGTCAAAGTTTGTGTTTGTGTGAGAAAGTGTGGGACACATCACTAAAGTCAGGAGTCAGAAATTCTTTATATCTCACTTAAAACATAAACATATGCAGTCGATGCAAATAGGTTATACATTTGGCTCTGATGACAGTTATTTTTATTTGAATGTAAATTTTCCTAACTTCAGATAATCATAAATGGAAACTTAAGTTTGTTTTTTAGATTTTGTGTGGTAGTCTTTGCATATACATTATAGTTGTAAGTATTGTTATAAATGTAAACATGTTTTTTAAATAGTTTTCCTTGTGTGCACCACAACAGCTGATTTTAAATTGAACAATCAAGACTTGTTTGAAATGTTTGTAAATTAAAGCCATTGCCAGAGGATTAGCAGTAATTGTACAGTCGACTTAGGTTCTGTTTCATGGAAAAGTGAGGCCTGTTCTCTTGTTATTCTATAACAAATAACAAAGCAAATAAAACCTATTTTCAAGACAAAATTACAAAAATTGTGTCATGCCCAAATACATATAGACCAGACTACATGAATATTTCTTTTTTCTAATGAACTAATAGTTAAATATTATTTATTCTGCTGCCCATCTTTTCATTTTAGTAGCAACGCATTCACAGATATATATTTTTTCTTGCCAGCATCTGCAACACCTGGAGCCAGATCCTTGGCAAACTGTCAAAGTTGCTGTTTACACAATAAAGAAATATAGAAAATTTAATACAGAGTTTGTAACATAAGTCAGTATTAAACTACTTCACTGTTATATCCTTACCTCCCAAACAGCTAAAATATTTCTGCACATAATTATTGGTATACTTAAATACATATTAGAGAGCAAACACCATCACATATTTTGACTCGAATAATAACAGAAAGTTATTGCTCTTAATGAAATGTTAAATTGTATATCTTGTCTGGGGAAATATCACAGTGATGTTTTTTATCAATCCAATGTAATATCAGTAGGACGTCCTGATATCCAGGAGCTGCTGTCAGTGGTCAGACATCCAAATATTTTAGGGGTTTCAGCTTCGTCATGGAGCAGCAGTCCCAAGAGTCCATATTCATATTTATGGTGCCAGAGCTTTACCCTAAAGCATCTGAAAGGTCACGCTTAAGTGTTTTAATAGATTAGCAATTTTAAAATGGCCCCTCAGATAAAGATCTAAAAACAGCCCTGTCTTCATAAAATCCCTCACAGGAAAGTTTGCACAATTCCTATTAAACAGATCTGGGAAGGTCAGCTGTGAGGCCTTTTAGGAAATACTATGAAATGACTCTATAGACTGTTCAATAGACATATCTTTAATACTTACGTGTGCTACTTAGCAAGAAAATCAGAAAAACTGCAAAATTCTATCAAAGTTTCAGATAATCAGAACGAAATTTAGTTTCTAACTACAGGGGTTTAAAAACAATGTGCTGCACAATCCGGGTGAACAGAAATGATCAGATGTAAAACTCATTCCAAGAATTATAACTTTATTAGGACTCATTCTTTCACTTTGGTCACCACACGTATGGTAGATGCAGAATGTCAGTGATATCAAACAGCCAAAATCTAGTTCACATCCATGTTCTGAAGGTTAAGTAAATATGGTTTTAGTTTGAGTCCGTCTCACCAGCTGCAGCTCAAAATGCATGATTTGGTTCCTTGGCATCACCACACATGCAGTGATAGTTTACTGGGGGTGAGACTAATGAATGCCACAGAGAACGGGAGCTTTTCGTTGCATTTTTTGTTTTAAATGCTCCAGACGTACAATCATCAGTGGTGCACAGATGCTACTTGAGAACCAAACCACACACCGTACCAAGAGATTCTCAGAGCTGCATAGGCTGGAGACAATAAGGCTCGGGTTGTTTGAAAAGGAGAGATGAAAAAAGCAAATTAGAATTAAACCACTGTGTTAAGTATTCAGTCAAAAGTAAAAGGAAATGTAGCATGAAGAAGAAAAAAAAAAATCACAGAAACTATAAAAAGAATCAGGTTTCCCAATTTACATGAGCTGGGGAAAAACCACTAAATACCCTTCTGACACAAGAGGCAACTTCTTTTAAAAAAAAAAAAAAGAAAAAAAAACTAAAAACAAAGTTGGCTAAGTTTGTCTAATCAGTGTTTTGCAAAAAAACAAAAGCCTCAAAAAGGGTTTTCCTAGTGTTCAAGACAGCACGAGCATTGCATTTACATTAATTTATAAAGTGAACATGCTGCACGAAGTATATAAAAAAAAAGCAAACAGGCAATCCCACCATTTAAAACGAAAGAAAAAAAAAAAAACTGCCTAAACTCTGTAGGCTTGTATCCTGGGATCAACTCCAGCATTTCAATACAGACATTGTACATTTGACTATAATTTTAATCTTGTATTCAGAACTGATACTGTATGTTACAATATGGGAGTAGGTGGACAAAAACACTTTAGATCAGCATCAAGTAACAAGTGAACAGTCCATTGGAACTATAAAGCTCTCACAGTATTGTCTGTCGATTTAAAAGTGTCTCCAAACCCTTGTGGGTTCAACAGACTGAACATTTCAATTCTCTCTACATCTTCTGACACGTATACGTCTCACTCATCTACACTTTCCCTCCATAAATGACAACCTTTATTTTCATTCTGAGCCATAAAAAGCAAAGGTTTGACAATGACGCCATTGTGGAATTAAGTGTCAGCATAAAGGGCGGTGTTGGTTAAAATCCACCCCCCACCCCAGCCACCCCAGCCACCCCACCCCACATCCTGATAAACCACTGAGTCTACCAGAGACCAGGATCATAGCCTCAGTTTGACTTTGAGTACAAATCTGGTTTCCATGAAAATAATCCCCTTCAATGTGACGTAAACAGTATATATTCAGGGTTCGTCCTTTTTTTCAAATTCCCCCCCCATATCATCCAGTATTTATTTTTTAACAAATCAAAGTGAAGTCAGACAGTTGCACTTTTAACACAGTTAGATTCAGCAATGAAGACTGAGATTGGCGATCCATTGGCAAAACGGTTACAGAGTCGGAGGTTTCAGCCCGTACTTCCTCGCCACTTCTGTCTGGGCGTAGGCGGCGTCACATAACGAGTATAAGTGGGCCATCTCCATCTCTGACTTCGCTAGGTTAATTGCTTTGTTGAACATCTCGATCGCCTTGTCAAGATTGCCCCTGTGAAAAGAAAACACTCCAGTTATACCAAGCACTTGAAAAATGTGTAGATTTGATCATTTTTACCACCACAGGAATTTTTTCCCAGGGACTGTGTTTCCATAGCAGTCAGAGTTTTAAGTTCTTGGAGGCTTCATCTTACTCCCAAAAGAGTCCCATAATGTAAGATAACTAAGCCGAGTGTGGAGCTGCAGCTTCACACTTGGCTGTGAACTGCTGCAGTGCGAGGTGGAGGCCACCACCTGCTAAAGCCAACAGAACCACATCATCTAAGAAAAGCAGAGATGAGATTCTGAGACCACCCAAGCAGAAGCCTTCCTTCACTTGGCTACACCTAGAAATTCTGTCCATAAGATCATGAACAGAATCAGTGACAAAGTGCAGTCGTGGTAGAGTAACACCCACCAAGAATGAGTTCGACTTATTGTCGGCTAAGCATACCAAGCTCTTGCAACGGCTGTATAAAGATCGAATGGCTCCTAGCAAAGGGCCAGACAGCCCACGACAGGCGCCAAACACCTTGTGACCACAGCTCAGTACAGCAGCTTCAGCATTGAGGCGCTCCTGATACGCTGAACTGTTGTTTAGGCGAGTGCAGATGACAGTCAGCACCCGTTCCCTGACCCAAAGGTGCAGGGGGAAAAAAAAACAACCTCTTGTCAATCGGGAAAAGCCCCAATTTACAGGCAGCAAGTTGAGGGAATACTAAGATGCCCACCCCAGCCCACAGCCTCTCACCACGGGCAAGTCTAGATTGAGACAGACTGGTTACACGATTACAATATTTCCTATTCCTCCTTTTCCTAACATTAACAAAGGCTCATCCAGACCCAGGAACCTGTCACACCTGAAGTAAGAATCAGATCCTTAAACCGCAAACATGATGTTTGTAACACTTCAACCAGTCTGTTCAAAATGGTACAAATATGTTCCTTTAGGGGCAACACAAAAGCATAAAGTGCTTTCTCTCATTTAGTGTTTTATAAAGAGGAAAAATGCACACTATGAGACTCCTAAAAACATCCTGACAGAAACACCAGCATGCTACCATTTTTATCTTTGTACAAGTGAAAACATTACAAAGCAGCAGAGAAATCATCCCTGGGAACAAACACTCACATCCTGTGTGACTCACCTTTGAACTTCAATGGTTCCCATGGTTTCATAGGCAAAATCACATTTGTTGTCGATCTCAATTGCCTTACTGATGAGGTCGAGACCCAAGTCGAGATCCTGTTTCCACTGAAGCTGCAACAAACTGCAGACAGAGCAAACATGTCACATTTACACAAACAAATCAGAGACATTATATGGATCAATATAGCCACATAACAGGGGAGAAACCCTTACCCCTTGTGGACATATGTTGTAGCATTGTCTGGTTCCAGTTCAATACACTTGTCGTACATTTCATCGGCTTTTCCAAATTGCTGCTGATCAGTCAAAGCCTGAGAAGTACACAGGAGGACAGGTAAAAACGTGCCCGCCAGGCATGAAAGCGACACTTTCCCATCCCAACAGGATTATAATGCTTTCACAAAAATGACTAAAAATAAATCAGTGCACATATTAACCACATTTCCAAGCAAATCTGGGAAATGTTAAGGATTTATGGCTATTTTGAATACA